AAATAACACAAAACCAAGTCATTTATTTGGTAATAAATCGTTTCTCTCACAACCCTGCTGAGAAAGGTTGAATTTCCTCTTTTTTTTTTTTTTGGCTCTGTGGTGAGGGGGGAAAACCAGAGCAGGGTAAGAACAGGGTGATGTAACCGCCGGCTGACATTGACCTAGAACACTCTACGTGAAAGAGCACAGGCGGCGGACGGAACGTGCCCTTGCTCCCTGTAGACCACTGCACAGAGTTAGGGTGGGCCCTGTGCAAACCCGGAGATGCCGGCAGAACCGCAAATCTGCATATATACGCTCTGTGATGAGAAACAACTCCGGAGACATTACCGAGTTTGTATTAAAAAGTGTATTTGTAGTATCCTTTCCCAACCTCCAACCATTATACAAAATTTAAAAATACACACACACGCCCATAGATAAAAGCAGCCATAAAAAGGTTATCCCAGAAGATCACTCTGGAAATCCTTCAAAATATGATCGATGCATTCAGAGGACTGAGAAATGGACTTCGTGTATGATAAGGTCCCTTTCCTACGGAATTTTGTTAGATTATTATCAAATAACAGCTCCCTGTGTCTCAGCCCTCTCCTTTGAGTTCTTTTAGAGCAATTATAAAAGAAATCTATTCAAAGTCCTTGAACTGGGACTCATATAATTTTTGTTTTCCCCCTTTTGAAGGGGCCCAGAAGAAAGATCTGAGAACCCTGCTCTTGGGGTGAGGGGTACGGGAGGGAGTCTGGGAGCCCCGCAGGGTTGCAGTACCTCCACCAGATCCTTTATTCCTATGTGTTTTCTAATATTTCTCCTAGCAGCACAGGATCTTGGAGATTACCTCGTCCAATCCCCTTATTTCATAAATGAAGAAATTGAGGCTCAGAGAAGCCAAGTGCTCTGGGTCACACGGTGAAATGGCAAGCAGACCCTTCACCCCAGTCCTTGTGTTGTTTGCTACATGCTCTTCTAGAACTTTCCTTCCCCTTTCTACCCCCAGATTCACAGGAACTGTAGTCAGGTGCAGGACATTTGGAGTCAGCACATATAGCACTTCTTAAATTGTTGAACAGGATCTCTGGGAATTTTACGCCTTATTGCTTCTGAAGACCTAGAAGCACATTTGCATTCGTTCTGTCACTTGCTTTTTCTAAATCTTAAAATACGGCTCTGAGGCTCCAACCCTCTCCCTCATGCAAATGCTTCCTCTTTTAGTCACCCACCTGACACTAGAGTCATTTATGTGTGCCAATCTGTCATCCTCATTCACACGAGGGCTGAGAGTTAAATTCTCAGAGTATGGGCGACAGAGTAGGACATCGGGGAGGTGCCGAAGACTCGGCTGGACCTGCCCTACTTCCAGCTCAGTGCATGTGCTTCTGTTGCCTTGTGAATCCCCCTTCTTTCCCTTCCTCGGCCCTTCCTCCCTCCTCTTTTCTTGCCTCTTTTCTTTCCGGCTCCTTCCTTGAGCCTGCTGGGCTCCACACTGCTGACTGCTCCAGCTATGAACCCTGCTGAGTGTCTTCCTTTTCTCTCCCCACTCCCACTCAGGCCCAACTTAACTATTTCCCAGAAATCTTACAGGGCCCTGGACCACCTCTGAAAACCACAGGGAACCTTGCTCCCTCCACTGGGAAACATGCTGCAGCAACATTATATAAGTGCATGAGAGTAAAGGGAATGGGCATTTTCCCATCAAAGTGTATCACTTTGTAATACACTGTACTGTAAACAATGCACCGGGCGATGCTGTTTCCCACTTCCCCTGCCTCCATAGGGGGAATTTGCATAGATGGCGTCACCAGGAAGAACCCAGCCAACTCTGCAGTCTCCCGCTCCGTCTCTCAGAGAACACTTGCAAACCACAAAGGAGCATCTGGGGGTACAAGGAGAGAGAACCCTGGAGGTATTTGTCAGTTCAAGTTAAATATTTTTGGCTTCATCTCATTATATAACCATCCCCTATGTCAACATCCGACTCGGCAGTGTCGCTCTTTTCAGATGGAGCATCTTCAGGCCAGAGGCACTCCACAGGGGGGCTGGGGAAGGGCAGCTGCATGCCTTCTCCACCGGCCACCAGAAGGCTCGTTTCCATTTCCTCGGCATCCTCTAGGTCCACTGTCTCTTCTGGAATACATGATAACACTGGAGGAACTTCTGGGTCGTCGTCGTCGAGGGTGCTCACACACACAGAGTTTAAATCCACATTGAAGATAATTCTGTCCTCAGTCCCCTCAGTGGAGCAGCTGTCCTCCTCAGGGAAGGGGTCCTGAAGCAGGTTCCTTGTCCTCTCATAGGCCCCATCTGTGCATTCCGACTGCCAGGGGCCAGGCCCTGGTGCCATCAGGGGCTCAGACTCAGCCCCAGGCTGGGGCAGGGAAGGTTCCTCAGGGTCTGGGTCGAAGCAGTCCTCAGAGGAGGCCGAGGACGTGGAGGCCGGACACAGGCCTGTCAGTCCATGCATGGTGTAACCGCCTGCGCTCGCCCGGGGAACAGCTTCATTATCGCTGTCACTTTCATCATCATATGTATAATCCCACACTTTCTTCTTTCTATTGATGTGAATGATCTCCACCAAAGCCACGGCTTCCAATGGCGGTAGCTCGGGAAATACCCAGGCTGACTGGTTACGAAAATTCTTAAAAAAAGAGAGAGAGAGAGATGATCAATTCTGAGGGTTTGTTCTTTATTTTTTGACGTAATAAAACTTACTGAGATTAACTGCACAGCGATGAGGATGGTGACGATGACGACCATCAATACAACATCAACAACAACAACAACAACAATAATAATAGCTAACAGCTATACTACAGTGTTTACTATTTGCTGGGCACTGCTCTTACTACGTTACATGTTGTAATTCGTTTTATCCTCAGGACAAGATATTTCCACATATTGAGGTCTACGGGGTAGCTATGCTGGTTTAAAAGTGATTCAGCTTGAACTAAAGAAGCCTGACTTACGGCCTGTAGACATACATGATACATCTGCTTTAACCGTTAAAGTAAAGAATGCATTAAACACTCTATCAAAATAAAGGAATGCACTCTTTTAAGATAAGAATGCAACCTTCCCCTCCTAAGATGCCAGTATCCGTAAGCCTTCATCAGTATTCCTAAATTTCCTTTCTGGGACAGGGTCACATGGCTCTGCTAATTTGCAGCTGAATATCTCTTTGAAACTTGGATGATTATGTATCTGGGTGTGTTTAATGTCTGTTCTTTGTTCCCAAAAGGTATAAAACTGTACTGGAAATCATGCTTCTCCCGAATGCTTTCTCCCTTTGTGGGGACTGCCTTCCTGGGTTGTAATCCTTACCCTGGCTCAAGCAAAACTCACCTTCTCCCTCTCATCTACAGAATGGTTATTGATTATTTGTCTCGACACTCACAACCGCTCTATGAAGTACACTTACTAGTCTTATCCCCACTTTACTGATGAGAAAATGAGGCAGAGAGGTTAAGGTTGCCCAACGTTCCTGTCTAGTAAGTGGTGGGGGCTGGATCTCAAATGGGGATAGACTTCAATTCTGGATTGCTAAGACATTCTTAAGGAGTGTCAAGGAACTGTGGGTGAGGAGAGACTCTAGGGAGCTGATTCTACTGGGGTCAAAGCCCTCTGGACTGGAGGACCTTAAAGATGATGATGACCCCTTAAGGATCAGGGATGAGAAGAGCAGGGAGATTGGAGCTTCTCTATTGCAGCCCTTGGAAGAAAACGTCTGCAGGACACAGTGGGGTGGGGTGAGGTAAAGAGAACAGGAAGCAGGC